GAGCTCTCCGGGGTGCAGAAAACGAGGGAATCACAACATTGGAAGACCCAGGCGGGTGGTTCTTGTCATTTTTGTGAAGAAATGGTTGTTCTGCGTGGTGGTCACATGCACCAGCTCTTCTCTGCCTGCCCTGCAGACGCCCACCGCGAGGAGGGGAGGTGGTTTGCGTGCCGCCCGCTTGGGTTTCGAGAAGTCATTACTCATGGCTTGGGTTAGAAACCAGGATGGAGCCGCGTCTGTGGGAACGGTGGCTGCAAAGCCTTCTGGTGGGAATGTAAAATGCATTTAAAAGGTGCCGTTTGCCCTGACTTTGAAGTCTGTTCTTCTATTCAGGGCTGTCTCAGTGAGGTTTAAAACATCTGAGCAACACAGCAAGTGGAATAAAGTTTGCTGTGGGGTCTGTTGAGGAGGTTTTCCTGGTTCCCAGTGATGGAAGGGCCTGGCAGGCGCTGCCTCGCAGTGTTTTCTGGCTGCACTCCAAGTACGTTTCCACTGGATTTGTGTTTATTGATGCATTTTCCGGGGCAGCAAGGCAATGTCTGTTTGGAGGGAGCTTTTCTGCAGTCGGAGGGAGCTTTTTTGCAGTCTCAGGGAGCACGCAGCCCCTCATGATTCATTTCCATGGCTTTCAGCATCCTGGAGATCAGCTATGCAAACCACGAGCCATCAGCTGAGTCAGGGTTGCTGGCTCGGAGTCCTGAATTAGTCTGGGGACCAGATATTTGCCTGATTCTCTTCTTTTTTTTCTGCCAGCCTGTGACTCGCTCGGTCAGCAGCAAACGTGAGCCGGTTGCAAACGCCCTGCGAGGGGAGACGGGGCTGCGGGTGCGTCTGCGGGAGCTCGCCGTTGGCATCCCCCGGCCAAACCTCCTCCCTGCCAAACACGGGCACGCTCGGCGTGACTCCGCTCCCGGCTGTCACCCGTGTGCCAGGGCAGGGCTGCGGCAGCGGAGGGGGACAGGCAGGTTTCCCCGGCACAAGCCTTGCACCACCCACGCCACTGTTCCCAGCCAGGTGTTCAAACCGGTTTGGTCCTCAGGCGAGCACTGGTTTTGTTCTGCCCTTGGAGGACCTGGCTGGGCTGCATCTCCCCAGAAAGGTGCCAGCAAGAGCTGTGGGTCCTGCCCGCTCCCTGATGGGTGCTGAGCACCCCAGCGTCCCGTTCTGCCTTATCCCGGGAGTCTGTGCGATCGTCCCAGGTTGAGATGTGGGAGAAGAGGTGCAGAGGAGCTGTGTGGAGGTGACACCGGGTGTTTTCCCCCTTTGCACGCCTGTGCCGAGGCCCTGGCTCTGTGCTTGGTGGGTGTAGCTTTCAGGATGCCTCGGTGGAGAAGGAGCTTCCCCGCCCCCTGACAGCAAAGAGAAGATTAAACAGTAAAAGGATTTAGGGGAAGGGATTGGAGTAATAGTGATTAAGTCATGGATCAGGATTTGTGATTAAGAAGCTCTGACAGCAGCGTGGTGAGCCTGGTCTAAATGTGCAGGCAGGATTTCTGCGGGCAGGGGTGCAGGCAGCGTCTGGCCGAGTTCCGGCGGGCAGGATGGAAACCACGGGCAGGCACGGCGCTGAGCAGAGCGGCCCCCACTGCGCTCCCGGCAGCCCCTTCCCCCAGGCTTGCTGCTCTTTGGGGGTCTCACGGCTCTGCTGTGCCCCCCTTCCCTCCTGCCCCCTCACCAAACGCACGCGGGGTTCTTGCTCTCCCGGTGCTTTGGCTCCTCGCGTTTATGCCTTGCGGCGGCGGTTCGTGAGCATCAACCACGTGCGGCTGCTGGAGCTCAGGGGTTACGGGGGACCCTCCCGATGGCTGCAGCACCCTGGTGTGGGCAAGGACCCTGCGGCGGCTCCGTGTTTGCTGCCTGTCGGAAACACAGCATCCCGTTCCCACTCGCCCCAGTGCTTAATCACGTTCCACGGTGTTTTCTCACGCCATACCTCCCCGAATCCTGAAGTCGAGTCCTCATCCCTGGAGGTATTTAAACGAAGGGCAGATGAGGTGCTTAGGGCCAGGGTTTAGTGGTGGGATGGCAGGGTTAGGTTAATGGTTGGACTCGATGATCTTAAAGGGCTTTTCCAACCTGGACGATTCTGTGATTCCCTTCCCGAGGGTGAGGGCCAAGATGCCTTCCTTGCAGCTGAGTACAGGCTCTTGCCTGGAGCTGCAGCTGGTGGAAGCCTCCCCGCTCGCCCGCAGAGGGGAGGCCAGGGTGCCGGTGGGGGTGGTTGGATGTGAGCGTTTCTGCCCCGGCAGCAGCCGCCCCGCGGTCGGTCCTGGCCGGTGTCTGGCCCTCAGGAGCCTCGCTTGGCTCTGCAAAGCCCCTCTGGTGCTGCCGCCACCCTGGGTGGGAGCAAGCGGTGGGGAAAGGCGTAAATGGAGGTGTGGGCAGGTCTGCGGTGTGCTGCCCAGCGCCTGCCCGCAGGGGCTCGCCATCTGGTTTACGTACGCTCTCTCCGCTGTGTTCATGGGCTTCAAATTTTACAACAAGAGCTTGAAGCCGGGGTTACGCAGTCGTTCTGGCAGGTGGAGGGGCTGAGCTTCGGGTCGGTGGATGCCCCGTAACATCTGACCGTGGAGCAGCCATGAGGAGGGGAGAGGAGCCCTTCTGGAAGGGGGTGCACGGCAGGCGAGGCTTTAACTGGCTCCTTTTATCTTTTCAGAGCCAAGTGGCCATGGTGACCTGCTGGTAGGGGAAGCCCGCTGGGACCGCTCGCCTGGGAAGCACCCCAAAGATGAGGCTCAACTGGAGGTCGGAGCCGCTAAAGCCAAATCGGATACTAAAGGGGAGTCCAACCCCGAAGACTCCACCCTGAGG